TATATATCTCGATGAACATCTCAATTGGAAAAGCCAAATTGCTCATGTTAATAGTAAATTAGCCAAAAATATTGGCAATTTTTATAAATTACGTCATTTATCTAACATTTACATATTAAAGCAACTTTACTATAACCTTATTTACCCTTATTTAACTTATGGTGTTATGAGCTGGGGTAGCGCATATACAACCAATTTAACCAAGATTCATACTAAACAAAATAAATGTATACGTAGTATTTTCTTCGCAAATCATATGGAGTCAGCAACTACTTACTCTAAACTTCTTGGAATACTCAATTTTGACAATATTGTGAAATTTAAAATTGCTACATTTGCAAAAAAACTGTGAAGTGATTCATCGAAATTGCCATACATATTTCATGATTACCTTATACCAATATCTGATATTCACAGCTATAATACTAGACTGTCTGCCAGTGGCAATTTCTATCGGCCAAAAGTAAGAACTAATTTTGGACAATCCACCATCAAATTTATTATCTCGAAGCTGTGGAATTGTATTCCACCTTATTTAAAACATTTAAATATTGAAGCCTTTAAAATACAGTACAAACAGTCCCTCCTATCCTGCCTGATATAGTCTTAACATACTTGTCAAATTATGAATTAGAAGCTAAATATTGATATGTTTACTTGCCATAACGATCTTCTACTTTCTATTATATTCCATGTAAAATTATTAACATGCAGTAGCGAACTCGAAAGCTCACGCTACTTTGGCTACTGCGCACATCCAATCTAAGTCAATAATAACATCATTATGTAATAATTCTTCAGTTCTATAATTTCAACAGATAACTTGTAAATACTAATATCATGTGCATAATAAAATCTTTCTTTGTTTCTTTTGAACAGGATATGAAGACGTACACACTTCAGCATTACATATTGGACTTAAAGGCAGAAAATATATTGAAGATGAGGGATTTTGATTGTCACTACCTTCACCTTGACTTGAACACGATCGTTCAGCAGCTGAAACTGAGCAAGTTTCGTCTCTGTATTCCAAACGTTTCGCAGACGATTTCAATTTAACAGTAAAGCCTTTTTCCTGAGCCTTTTCTCTATATCTGATCAGTAGTTTGCTGTTTATTTCATCAAATTTCGTTCGTTGATTCGCACTGTGTTTTAGGAAATTTAAACAACTTCTGCAAATATGCGTCAAAATAGGTCTTACCACAAAATGTAGACTTTTAATTTCGGCCAAAACATCAAAGTCTCTTTTCCCCTGGACAAGATTAATGTCGCCTTTTTTTATCCTTATAAAACAAAGAATGCATTAGAGCGACGCCATGAATATTCATGTTAGCTCAAATTTAATTTCGCGTTTAGCATAAATTATCGTTAAACATGAATATTTAGCAACTGACCAATCACAGACGTTCCCCGGTTTTAGGGGGAAATCCACATGACCTCACAAGCTTTTCTCTCCCAATGCGCAGACTCAAGTAGATATTTAAAAAATTCGGGTTGAGGCTGCATGCAGGCTAGTGTTTAATCAGCTATAAAATTGAAGTTATGAAAGCTTATAACCTATAGATTACAATAAAATGGACCATTTTACACAAAAACTATTTGTAACCTGACACCGGCCAGGAAACCATACCTCATGCAGTGCTAAAAAGGGTCATGAATGAGAAAACATATCTGGTTGTAAATGGCCAGGATTTTGAATGTGAATATATTTTTAAGAATAGTAGGAATCACAGTCTTAAATGAGCATAGAACTTTTTTTGATGATAAATATTGCAGCAGTGGCAGTGCTACAAACTTGTGATAGGTTTTACCAGGGACGTTTTTGTCAATAGAATGACCTACAAATAAGATATAGAAATTCTCTATGCTCATTTAAGACAGCACACCTAGAAGAACAAATGCTGAAAATTTTAGCTTAATTGGTCAAATACAACAAGAGATATCTTTTCTCAACTGCCGAAATTGCACAATTTGAGGAAATGAGCATTAAAATTTAGAAGCAACAATACAAGTCGAGCTTATTTGTTCAGTTTTTTTTTCATCTTAGAAATACTGGCCTTAATTAGAAACCTTCTGCTTCATGTAGAGCTTCTTCACAACAGGTTTTTAGCAACTGCAAAAAACCCGTCGTTTTTTATGTTTCTCAGTTGTCTGCTTGTCTGATACGTTTTCTGTCCTTTGAGAGTGACGATTTCTTTGTAAATTCAACAGCTGGTATTGCCAATCTCTTCATTTCTCTCTACTTCTGGCACTACTGTAAAAGTGGCAAACTGCCGAAGCAGCAGCACATCGGACAACCTTTGCCCCATGATGCTTGTGCTTAGGACACTGCGCCCATACTACTGCATTGATACTTTCATCATCATTATTTTGGGTTGTACCTCAAACACACCTTTCCAGCAGCTTAGTATCACTTAGAGTGATAAATATTGGCTTCAGTAACTCCAGAAATACATGAGGCAAGCAATGATCACCCTTGTACATGGATGTTCTTAAGGCTTGGTCTTGCTGCCATTTGCACCAGGAATTTGATCCGACAGGACAGAAACAATGTTGCTTTCCCTGTCTTCTGATTTTACACAGTGATGTAAAATTGCAATGATGTTTTTCATTTTGGATTAGCACCAGACAAGGTATTTTGCCTGATTGCTAATCCATAATATCGTTGAATTTATTTTATCTTCTCTTCAGTGAGTCGACCGCATCCTCTGATGGTCTTTCCATCTTCAAGTTTTCCTTTTATGGTTGCTTTCAAGTTCATTATGTGTTTCCCCATATGTTTCTGGATATGGCCAACACAATTCATTTTTTCTACTTTAATTCCATCATAAGTGTCCTCCACAGCACTGAAAGCCTTGCTGTCACCATCTGAAACCATCCGCCTGTATCTAATGTTATGGCAGTTAAGAGATCTTCTCCACAAAATTTCAGCACCTTCCTTTTCCATAGCAGGAGAACTGCCACTAAAGTGAATGTCACATTCTCCAGAGAAGATATGCTCAATTTCCCATTCTTCAAATTCTTCATCCATTTTGCACTTTGCTTTTTTTCAAGCTACATTTCTGGCACGATTTGGAAACCATGTGATAGTCAAGTACTTCCCCAGTAGAGGTGTGCATCGGATCGGATTGGACGTTTATAATCCGACAATTGGCTAATGTTTAAAATCCGATCCGAAATTGTCTAATCCGAATCCGATCCGAGTTGTAATAAAGTTTTCTGATCCAATCCGAAGAATTCTTTAATAAAATAAATTTTTCATTCACGTTGAAATGTTTAACCAAATCAATAGAAAAACAAGAAATACATGTCAAGAAGCTGACAAAGTGATGTCCAATTGAAGTATCAAATGAAAAATGCGGCGACAACCACGATAATGCATGGGGTAATTCATTCTTGCAATAATACGTGGATAATTAATTCATTTTATTTTGAATATCGAAGTCCGATCTGACTGCGAAACAACTTTATCAATCCGATACGAAATGTATATTTTTGTTCCGGATCGGATTTGCACACCTATTCCCCAGTATCCACAGATATCACAAATACAATTCCAGTGAGAGATGTGAAGCCAACGTTTTGCCCAAGTGCCATCAAAACTAACAGCAGCATCTATAACCGAGGTCTTATCTCCACAACCACTTACCTTTATAATTTGTTCTCTGAGTCATTCTGCAGCCTGTTTCATCTCTTCTCTAGCTTCAGCCTCGAGAGCATTTAAAATTGTTTCTAAATGCTGATAATAGGACGTTTTGCTCATACATGGCATATTCATGATGTTGCAGAAAGATCAAGACTTTTGTATCCACCACCCGTCTCTATCGAATAGTACACTGCGCGTTGGTTTATATCAGCAGACTTCCCTCTCCCACCCACAAAGAAGGATGTCTCCAAAGATGATTCTTCTTCACAAGAACTACAGGTCACTGTTAAATCAGATTGAAGACCTCTTTTTCCATCTGGATGTTCTTGAATAATCAAGCTGCCTACAAATAGAAAAACATTCTCTCAAAAGGCTGATCACATGCTATTGTTTATTTATATCCCATGAGAAAGTTTTCACAAATCTATATTATACACATACATGTGCATGACTCTCTACATATATAAACATATAGTATATTCAAATATAGGAAACTATAACATAACATAACACGAACACAAAACCTACAACAAATTCTGACCTTCATTGCAAACATGTGCTGAAATGGATTATGCCTGTTTCTTAATGTTTATAAGGTGATATCCTTGGTCAGTATTTTCTTCATTTTCAAAAGCACCATCTGAAGTCAATTGTTGAAGAGATTCACACCGATTTAACTTCCTCCTTGATGTGCTAGAAGGTGGGTTTGAGGTCGATATGTGTTCCTGTGATGTGCTTACTGGTGAGTCGAAATCGTCAGCAGTGCTCTTCGTTGAATTATTTTTATACCTTTGCTTTCTGGAGAAAGATTTGCCTTTTCTGTTTTTCCTGTAAATGTTTTTAACTCCTGTAAATGTTTTCCGACATGAGGAACTGTACCATAAATCCTTCCATCACTTTAGATACCTGAGCTGTGAGTGATATAGGTCTTAAATCATCCTCAATAGTCTGAGGTGGTGACACTTTTGGAATGGGAACGACGATAGAACGTTTTAGCTGATCAGGGAATACTCCCTGAAGCACTGATGTATTGTAAATGTCCATTATGACAGGGGCAAATTCAAAAGCGAAGGTTTTCAGAATCCTATTTGTGATACCGTCTGGGCCAGGAGACTTCGTTGTTTTAAGACATCGCAACACTGAATAAACTTGCCCTATATTTACAAGTGGATGATTGGGGAGTTCTGTCTCCTGGTCATCGGTGCATTCTAGCAAGGGCTTAAAATGCAAAGTGGCTTAAAATCCAAAGGGCTTAAAATGGCTTAAAATCCAAGGGCTTAAAATCCAAAAAGATATCCGTTATATGACTCAGCAAGGTCCTCACTGGTGGGGTTTACTTCAGAAAGTAGTTGAT